TATATATATTGAACTATAGTTTTCGAAAGTTTTATCACAAGTTTATAATTAACATTTTTACAGCAACTCGCGGCATTGTTATTGCAAATTTCGTAATCGGACCACCGCCATTTTGTTGCTATTTTTATTACGAACAAAATCATGTCCTAAGCATTTTTTTGTACAAAGTCACATCTCGCTGAGTTATTTAGAAAACTACTAAAAAAAAATTTTTTCACGATTAAATTGTTAATAACTTTTTTCCTGATAAAATACTTTGTCAGCAAATTAGCCTGTTATTGTACTCATCATTTAAAGTATTCCTGTGTAGTTATTACCGAGTTATCAAGGAAATGTCACCAACAGTAACTTTTCGGCCTCTGCCGACTGGACTATCTGTGATATCTCTACTTATTACTTTGTGATGATATCCTTCGAGAACTTCGAGGAAGCGCTCGTATAATTTGTGTTTACTTATAAGATTGTACACGGATTGTTGTTAAGTATCTATAGCAATAACATCTGTGTTAGTACGTTTACTTAGAATAACATGGATTTGCCTAATATAGTATTGTGGGTTGAAATAATCAACAATCTTGATGAAGGTGAGGAACTGCTAAAAATCCGAAAGAAGAAAAGAAATATAGAATAAACTAAACCCAGACTGTCTCTAGAGACAATTGACAAACAAGAAACAATAACACTAAACAAAGTAGCACTTATTTCATGACTAGTTAGTTGATGACTAGTGATCAATAGTTTTCATTCCACCTGCTTTCTGATTGGTCAGTACATTTGATAACATTGTTCCTTGTTCTTCACTTTCGTGGCTTGATCCGTTTGTGTCGAGCATACAGTATGAATTTTGTGATAGAACAGTAGTAGAGCGAAATGAGGGAACGTCCCCTAGGGAGCATTCTGTTCTCTCACATCAAGAATCGAACTCCTCATGTCACCTCAATTTTGTTGAATAAATAAGAACCTACTTTTAATTGCCAGTGTTGCGAGAAACAACTACTCCACTGGCTATATGCCCCGACCGATATTGAATTATACTCGCAACACCTAGAGCAACAGTTAGGATCGTTCGTCAGTTTAACCCACCAGGCACAGACTGGTTTCAGACTTATTAGTCCTCATCAGTGTGTCATAGATGAGACAACTGACGACCGATTCAGCCGTTATGTGGCCGTATTCTCACGACAAGGAAATACATTGTACAAGATCCTAGCTGTTGCACTAGCTGTTGCGAGTATAATTCAATGCCGGTCGAGGCATATAACCTGTGAAGTAGTTATTTCTCGCAACTGTGGCAATTAAAACATTGTGTTTCGCCCTCTGTGGGCACAGTTCAGCACTACAGATGGAGCCATTTGCGCTCCATGTATAAAGAACCTACTTTGTTTTTACTACACTAATTAAAAATAAAAAACTTTTTTTCTGTAACGGGAAAAAAGTTTGACATTTTATCTCTGTTGACAGGTAACAAAATGTCACTTTTTATGAAATTTCCTTTTTCCCCAGGAAAAAAGTGAGTACTTTTTTCCCGGATATATACAGTATACATAAGTAAAGGTAGATATTTAAAATAATTTTTGTGACGCTACTTTCGCTGCTTCTACTA